GGATAGATGGACAGATGGATGAATTGATGGATGAACGGATGGATAGATGGAGGGATGAACGGATGGAGGGATAGACAGATGGATGGACTGATGGATGAACGGATGAATGGATAGATGGATGGATGGAGGGATGAACGTGTCACTGCTGCCCCTCCGTCCAACACAACAACAGCCGCCAGTGCCGCCTGTTCCTGCTCTGCTATTTGTGGAGGCGCAGCTGCCGCCCCCCCGCCTCACACCTGTTCCCCCCAGTGTCTGCTTTCACAGGCTCCGCTGCTGCTCGGGGGCCACAGGGGCCAGTAATGGCACACGCCCCGGGCCTGTCATCGGCTCGAACAGGCCCCATTATGGAGGAGGTGGTGGATTCTGGACAGCACTTTCTGCCAACCTGTGCTTTAGCCATCAGGAAACCTGCAGTGTTGCAGAGCACAGTGAACTGCTAAACCTCAGCGATGCTAGTTTCACCCAATCGGCCTTAGAGACACTGGACTTTAAATTTTTTTTATTTTTTTTTAGCAGATTATCTATTCAGAAATGTTGCAAGTTACACTGTAAAAAACAATTTGTAAATTAAACAAAGATTATTGTTTATGAGAAAGTACTATTACACTTTATTTTAATGTGTTTGTTACAGTGTAATTATACATTTAATTAGTATACATTATACATTTGAGTAATAATAATTACTGGTTACACTTTATTTTAAGGTGTCATTGTTACAGTGTAATTACATATTTAAATACTGAGTAATATTAATTAACTACATGTAGTTACTATATAGGGTTAGGGTTAGGATTAGGGTTAGTTGCATGTAATTATGCATAATTTACTCTAGTAACTACATGCAATGTGTGTAACAAAGATATTGTAAGATAAAGTGTTACTGAAAATACTGTACTTGCCATTTCTTTGTAATTAATTGTGAAATTTACTAGCAATTTCTACAAATATTCTTTTTCAGTGTAGTTTGCAGACCTTTTTAAATGAGTTGTCTAGCGAATCATGTTTGCTGAAATGCAATAATCACCTTTAGTGAAATTCACAGTATATTCTTAAACCATACGCAAATATCCAAGGCCTCTGAATGATCAATGCTGAAAAACCCGTTGCACTGCATGCCTTCTGTGGTCTGGGTGGTAGTTTATAGTTTTAAGTAAATAAAAGATATTTTAGTATAATTGTACAAACGTCTTTTTGCTGTAAAAAGAAATAAACAAGAATAATTGTTAGTAAAATAGTCAATTTAAGTACAATCAACTTGGATGTTGAAGTCATTTCAACATAAATGACATTAAACTGACTTTAAAAAATGAGTTGAATCTTTAATAACTTACAAAAACTGTTGAAAATTGCTGAAATTAAAGCAATGTAAAAACACATGCTGTCATAACTTATTGTATTGTAATATTTCAAGATGAACATTACTGAACTGAAGCAACTAAGAATAATCCAAAAATCTTTATATATATATGTCTCAAATATGATCATCAGGCGGATGGTTTATTTGTGCATCTTTTAATCATCATTGTATTGCATTGCATTATGTTTTAAAATGTGATCATTTCAATTTCATCACTAAGACAATAATCTTAAATTATTGGCAGATATAGAGTGATGACTCACTGTAAAAACTAACTTTCTTGATTTGTTATCACAACTTTTTATCTTCTGTCAAATCAACTTAGTTAATGAATGTAATTCAGATAGCATAATATTTTGAGTTTCTATTTATTAAACCAATCTCCTTTGTTGTATTAACTCAAATTTTTAATTCCAATGAACTCAACATTTTAAGGCAACTTACTTGTTTAAGTTAAACCAACAATATTTCATTTTATGTAAGTATCTGCTATACTGTTATAAAGATATCATTCATTTGCCATATAAATATTAGCAACTGCACCAAATTACATATTTTTTCTTTGAATAAAATTGAGCTGTTTTTCTTCCTCGAGTTTGAGCTCCATATTTATGCGCCTGACTTATTAAAGTATTTGGTCTAAAGGTTGAATAAAGTGATATTTCAGGTTGTTGTTAGCTAGCCTATATGTCAGGCTTTACAGGGTTAAAGAGGGAAATATGAGTATGTTTTCAGCCTTGAAAGATGTTCAGCAAGCAGAACCGGCATTATAGAGAATCACTCATCAGCCGAGGATCTGCTCTCGCCCGTCCCAGGAGCAGTGGAGCTCGCCGGCACAGATGTGGTGATCCGGCGCTCACACATCAGACCAGTGTGTGTGTCCTCCTGCACACTCCACTTCTCCTTCAGAGCCTCAAACACAACCCATAACCAAACCTCCAGGTCTCTCAGTCGCATGTTTTGGGCTTAGACCTGCATGTTATATTGTGCATATTAAATTGTGCACAGAATACGTGGTTTTCTGGAGAGAAATAAGCCGATGGAAACAAGTCATTTTCAATTTCTCCGGCTCGTTTGAGGCTCCAAACTTTAATCATTCACACATGACGTGTGACTCAAAGCGTGACAGGTACTCCCGCATGCAACCGGCCAAAATGCAACATGATACATAACTTAATGCATGTTTTATTTACACTACAGGTTTCTGGAGCGAATGATTACAACAGATCAGTTTATCATTCCATCAGAATATGAATCCAAACCCTCAGCACTACATATATAAGGCATTACTACAATATTTACATTGCTTTTTGTTTTATAAAACTGTACAGTCGTGTCAGCAGCAGCAAAAAAGACAAGAGCTTATATAGCCATAAAACGCCCTCTTCTTCAGGGTTTCAGGTAATAAATAAAAAATATATTTTCAAATAGAAAATACCAATAAACAGACATGTTATAGTTTACTATGTTTAAATGTATAAATCTTTATTATGAATAATATTTATTGTTATTATTAATAACAATGATGGCATTCAATATGTGAAATGTTTTATATAGTATATAATAAATATTATTAAATTTTTATTTTATAATATTTATATAATGTATTATGTTAATGTTTACACTACTGTTCAAAAGTTTGGAGTTAGTAAGATTTTTTAAAATAGAAATTAATACTTTTAATGCAAGAAGACATTAAATTGATCAAAAGTGACATTATAATGTTACAAAAGTTTTTTTTTTAAATTAAGAAAAAAGTTAAGTTTAGAACTCTCTGTTCATCAATGAATGCTGAAAACATATATCACGGTTTCCATAAAAATATGAATCTGTTAATAAGAAAAGAATCATCATGATTTCTGAAGGATCATGTGACACTGAAGACTGGAGTAATGATGCTGAAAATACAGCTTTGATCACAGATATAAATTACATTTTAATATATATTGACATAGAAAACAGTTATTTTAAATTGTAATAATATTTCACAATTTTACTGTTTTTACTGCAATTTTGATTAAATAAATGCAGTCTTGGTGAGCAGAAGAGACTTCTTTCAAAAAACATTTTAAAAATCTTACTGAAACATTTGAATGGTATATTTTTTAGGATTTTTAAATGTAATAATTTTTATTGCACTTATTATAATCAATAAATGTGTAAACTATTTATTGAGCATTGCCTTTTTTTTCATATTGCTGTTGTCGGCGTTTAATAAAAGCAATAAGCAATAAGCCAATAAGCTGTCAGATAGAGTGATTTTACCGTGTTTTTCCCCCGCTTACATCCCTGTAACATTGTGGGTTTTTGCTTTATGAAAAAACAGAAAGAATTCATTGTTAATTCTGTGCCAGGCAAACGGCCAACAGATGAACATGTCTGGAGAAGAGATCCGGGATGAAGGTATTTTCCTCAAGACAGCTTTGTGGTTTCTGGAAAAGAACAGTGGAATGTGTTTCTTCATCTCATTAATTGATTTTCCGTCAACTCACCTCGCCTTTCAACGTTTAATTATCTCAGATAAGAAAAATAATCATAGATCCGATCAAACAAACGCATCTAAAAGATGTTTCAAGGGGAAAAACAGTATTATAGGTTCACTGTAAAAAATAATCGTGATTTTAACGGTAAAAGACTGTAAAAATGCTACAGTGCAAAACTGTTGATTGGTTAACAGAAAGTTTCCGTACTATATACGGTAAATAACTGTGATAGATCTCATGGTACATTTAATGTAATTTTACTGTAAAACACTGTTAAATTTACAGTTTTTGAAAGTGAAAAAGAACAACTCATTGTATAATTTACAGTGAAAAACCGTAAATTGACATTCCCACAATTCCCTGCGTGACACTTCACATTTTATGTATTTTTGTTGAAATAACTGTTTCCTCATAGTTTTCTTTTTTTTTTTTTCTAATCAGTTATGTACATTAGGGTTTTATGTTACATTTAATGTTGTTAAATTAATGTTTTTTTTATTTCATGTGTGTTACCATGATGGTGTTTATTGTGTGTGCGAATGACACTGTGCAGCTTCTATATAATAATAATAACCTTCTTGTGGAAGAGCTGCTTGTGATGAGCTTTGATTGATCATGTGACTCTCATCACTGCTGTGATTGGCGGTTGTCAGTGTATTACAATGGTACAAAACAGATATTAATACTTCAATAGGTTCGCAAATTAACATTATATCAGATAATGAATTACGGTTTATTACTGTAAATTTTAAGTTAAGTCTGTAAAACCAATAATGTTGCTACCGTATTTTTGACGGTAAAGTTCTGGCAACCACAGCTGCCGTTTTTTTTACTGTAAAAATTACGGTTATTTTTTTACAGTGTTGGAGTTGGGATCCGCTGTTGGGAATCTTGGCTCTCCTCTCAACGTCAACAGCCGTGACTAGCTCTACCACAGCCATGCATCAACGCCGGCTTTCGTGTTTACGGTCGGAGTCGCACCCTGCAGGATCAGTGCTGTGTTTGGAAATGGAAACGTTATTAATGATTTCGATGTTTTGTTCAGGAGAACTGTCCCTGCTTGACCAAAAACAGGTCCCAACGACACCATCCGTGAGAGCGGATAATGCGTCCAATTAATTAAGACGGACAGTTTAGCTTAGATTAGGAGCTTCTGAGTATCTCCATACACACTTTTCCCACTTCGCTACTCAAATGATGTTCAGTTTGTAGTCAGAAACAGGAAACACCAAGCTCTTCCGCTCGGACCCCGTTTCCCACAATGCATAGCGCGAGTTGTCCATGCGAGCGTGTCATTGGCTCTCGTCCATGCTAACGCCCAGCCGCTTCATGACGGTGACGCGAGAGCTGCACTGACTGGGTTTCTGCAACAGCTCTGGTTTGGGCTGGAAATGCTCCATTAGGATCTTCAGGACGTTCTCCAACTTCACGTCCATCTGAAGCACCTACAAAACACAGACACATTTCAGGCCACGTCTGCATTAATCCAGATACAAAACGCTCTAGCATTCTCCAAAAGTCTCTCATCCACACTAAAGGCCCTTGCACACTGAAATTCGCGTCTGAAATTTTCGCACGTTGAAAAATAAATACGACCTCGCGTTATGTCAATCACGCTCACACACTGCCTCCGAAACATTCGTCCGTCATAAAAAAAAAATTGTATCGGGTTCGATTTTCTGCGTTTTTCGCATCCGGAGCAACAGTGGCGGCCTTAAGCATCTGGGGGCCGTTTCAATAACTAATATGGGGCCCTACTCACATAAAACATAAACATAATGGAGGAGAAAAAGCAAGGATTCCTGTTGGTTTGCATCAATGGGATATTATTTTATTACGTGCACTTTCAGCTTCATGAACAGGCAGCTCAACATAGAAATAATCCAACCTTATTTGATTAAAACCATATACAATTATACAGCGTTTTACATTGGAATAAGCCTCGCCCTTTCACACAGGGCAACTTCACTTTTGGTAGACTGAATAAAGCTTTTCTTTTGTTGTCCGATATCTTTAGTTTTTCAGCACCACTGGCATATGTACGTTTCATTTCCTCTTAAAATTATTTTCCTGCTCAAAATAACATTTTAACCTAGCGGCAAAAAAGGCAAAGGTAAAAATACATAAACTACGATATTATATTTCAGATCACTTAAGCCGTTCGCGGGGGTGGTAAACGTCGCCATGGTAACCGCAAGTTCGACCAATCAGAGACGTCAGTGTTTTGCAAATAACAAGGTTGATTTCATACCTTGTGGCTTTTATAGGAGCAGAAACTTTCGTTTCACAACCTCATAGCTCGTGGTCAATCTACCTTGAATGGTTTAGACATTATGGCTGAAAATCAATATCCTACGGAGAATATGAATGGGATTTTGCTGGTCTGTTGGAGGGCGGGGCCTGTTTCAATTGAAACGGGTGAAACATAGGCAAGGCCACCGCCCCTGCGTAGCAAGCAGTTTGAATGTTGTTTAAATGGTGTTTTAACAATTCAGAGCCACCGAATCACGAATACGGAAAAAATTCGTAAAAATTTCAAACTCACTGTGCAAGGGCCTTAAGACGTCAGAAAACACTACAATCATCTTTGGTAAAATGTGACAAAAGCTCACTGAGATCAAGATATTTTTCTGCCAAGATCATTTTATTAGCAAAATACCTCAGCACTTACAGAGAGCTGCACAAACTGACACTGTTTGGTCTAAAACGCAATTCTGTCACGACAGGCAAGGTAATTGATATGACAATGTTGATATGTTTGGTCTTGGTCGAATAAATCTGCCACGCTAGTACCAATACACACACGACATCTGCAATATAGCATACATGAATTACCCGTAGCAGATCTACACAGGTGGAGCTGGGGAAGGAGGAGGGTCTCTAAAAGTAAGCTTCAACTGCTAAGTTTGAACGTTGAGCTGCGAGCTCATTGGCTACTGATACAGCAGGAACCAATCAGCTGTGTCCTATAGAGAATGATGTGATTGCAAGCAGAATGAGTTAAGCACCAATCAGTCCGCGCCATCTAGAGTTTCATGACAAAACTTTGTATTTTCCCTCATGTTTTGTCACATCAATTGCAAGTGTTTTGCATCTTTGCAGGAATGCCTTATGAAGATAACATTTATTTTCAGCTACACTGTGAAAGTGAATAGCACATACTGGTATAAACATAGATATCTATCAGTACAATATGCGTCACATGACTAAACATGCGCCATTGTTTTCAAATGCCTTCATATTTCTCCACTTTGGGAGAGATTCTTCAACAAAAAAGCTGTCTCAGTATGAACTGAAGGCCAAAACGTAGAGAAAAGGATGCGTTTTCACATGTATGTGGATTAGACGTGGCCTCAGCTGAGAAATAAAGCTGTTTTTTTGGTTCATTTCAGGGTTTAGATTTAGGGTGGTGTGGTTGTGTTGTCCCAAATCCGGGCTACTAACTAAAAGGTTGAAGGTTCAAGCCTTGGAAGGGGTTAATCCATGAACAATCAGCATTGTGCTCCAGTGAGGCACTTAACCTCAGCTTACGACACACGACTGTTTAACCCCTAAGAGTCGGAAAATCAGGCTACAATCTCTTTATTGTGTCCACCGTTATTTAAACAAAACATTACTTCTAAACACTAAAAGTACTGCATTAAAAGTCAGTTTAACCCTTGACACAAATGAATCTTAATATCAAAAGAAATAAAATGAAGCCTATTTTAAGGGACATTTTTTGCACTATAACATTTTTCATTAACATATTTTTTAATAAAATTTAGCATATTACTACCATGAGCCTAGAAGGTAAATAATATACTTAATAAATAAATGAATGTGTGTTTTTTTGTTGTTGCAATATATTTGGGGTGAAAATTGTCATGAAAATAATGTCACAATGCAAAAACTCTTAATGATCATAAAAATAATTTCTTATAGAGATGCACAATGTATTGCCACCATATCGGTTATTGGAAAATTGTATTTACCGGTACTGTATTTTATTTATTGCATCATACATTAGATATTTAATTTGCCTATCCTTGCTTATTTTTGATCTTCTATTTAAACATTTTAACATGTTTTCTTGAAGAGTTTATTTTATGGTTATTGGTTAACCTTTTGGGACCTCAACATACTTTGTAAAAAGGACCCGGTCAAAGATATTTAGAAAAATCCTAAATCAAATGTATTTTGAGAAAGGGTCAAAAGTTGACAATAACAACATACATCAAACAATATGATTTGTAATCAATATATATATATATGTATGTGTATGTGTGTGTGTGTGTGTGTGTGTAATGTAATGTAATGTGACATTAACACAAATTGTCAGAAACAACCTCTCCTGCATCAGTGATTTTCTTTCAGAATGGGTCATTTATTCAGATAGCTACTACCAGTTTATGAGCCCTTGCGTGCCATTATTTATCTCTTGCACACACACACACACACACAGGCCGCCCGTAACATGAAACGCCAACACAAGCCATGAGAAGCTCTGAGTTCTACAGTGCGTTGTTTCACAGCGAGCCGACATAAATATATTTTCATAAAGAACAGGAACATTGACTGCCAGTTAGAGGGGAAATATAAATCTGAACCATAAACATGTCATTGATAATCTACGGCATTATCTGCATTCCCCAGCGACGCTCTCCGCTCAGATGAGGAATTCCTCTGGTGTGTGGAGCCGGCGCACGCTGACCCGCGGAGACCCCTGCAGAAACAGCCCTGACACACACACACACACACAAACTGAGCTCGGACTGCAGATTCAGCTCGCTAACCTCAGTGTTTAATAACCCGCTCCGAGAGCAGGCGTGGGCTCGATGTTTGACGTCCAGCAATGAAAGCCAGAATGAACCATAAAGGTGTTTGCTTGTTCCTTTTTCTTTTAATGCTGAAACATTCCAGTTTCTCCTACAAATTTGTTTTTGTTTTGAAAAGCCGGTTACTAGTGTTCTCGCTGCAAACTGATCTCTTAAAGGGGTCATATAATGCCATTTTTGTACAAGCTAATATGATTCTTTAGGGTCTAAATTAAAAGTTTGTAATATACTTTAATTAAAAATTCGCATTAGTATTGTAAGAAAACAGTTATTTTACCTGGTCAAAAACAGCTCTGTTTTCAGCACGCCGTTTCAGTGCATATGACTTTAAATGATAATGAGCTTTGCTCACCCCGCCTCTCTGTTCTGTGCGTACACCGTTTGTAACACAATAACCATAACGCGTTGTTCATTATAAACGTGGGATTATGAATTATATGGAGAACGTTGTACATAGAAAACATGCCGTAATGTACCCTGAGTGTAAACCTTAGACGCATTCATTGTTAAGCGTGCAGCTAGCGATTTGCAAAGATTAACGTTAATATATTAATCTAAAGTTTAATAAAACGTTACACTCACTTCAGTTCTTCTGAAGGTTCAGCAGGAACACGAATATCTGGTACAGATCCTTTTTTCATGAGCAGCTTCTTAGCAAATCCAGCTTTATACTGACCCTCGTTTATAAGCAGTCTGGTGAGAAATGATTCGCGCAAACATGAGAGCATTGACGTTGCTCGTGGGGAATATTCCCTTCGAAAACAAACACAGCCACTGCGTCTTCAGCGGTTCGGATTTAGGAACATTAAAATGACTGCTGTGTTCGTTATTACACCCAAGAACAGAACACCACAATCGCCTAGACGCCATTCTGCTCATAGACAGTGCTCCAGCATATCAACAATGAGCGCGCCGGTCCGCGCAGACTATGATTGACAGCTCTCATGAGCGAGGGCGGGTCTGTGTTGAGACGCTCCTGTCAATCAACAATCGTGGGAGGGGCTTCCAAGCGTGTGACGTCACACGGTCGAACGGCTCGATTTGAGGCAGGGGAAAACATATAAGGAGATTAAAACAAAACCACTGGATGGATTTTTATCATTATATGATGGTTGTGTACAGACACTGCCAACACACATTTCAGTACAATCAACTTGTGAAAGTGCATGTACCATTATATGACCCCTTTAATCTTAACAGGTATTGCAATTGTGTCTAATTTCCCAGTTAGCATATCTCAAATAATGCATTTGTTTGGTTTATATATTGCAGTTTAAATTAGTACTGTATGTTTAATGCACACTGAGAGGCTGAAAGGTAGAAGTTATTATATCTACAAATCCTTGAAACAAGATGCATGTTTAGAAATCTCGCACCTCAACATCCGCAGCTTCTCAGATACTTGAGTTTTGCTCCACTAAATATTAGTAAATAGTTTCTCTATGAGTTTGCCAACTGAAGATTAATGCACAACAGCAGACAGACTTCGCTTCCTTAGAGTTGACGATCTCTCATGGTTAAGTCAATAATCATCTCGCCAACAAGAAGAGTTTGATCTTTATGAGCAGCATTCATAGGTTCAGTGCGCCGATAAGAGTCGTGGGATGTTCTTCAGCGGGTCTGGATGA